CAGGATCAGCATTTAATTAAGATGTGTTCATGTACATACTCAGCTTTTAGATGTTTAGAAATGCAAAACAGTACACAGAATGATGGAATTTCACATAATTAACATCTCCAGGCTTCATGAAGAACCTCTCAGTGTTCCCATGAGAGCTCACAAAGGCATGAGAATCCCATGCTAACAATAAACCTAGATACAGCACCTCAGCCAAAGCACATACAGAACTGTGCACTATTATTTCAATTGTTCCAGCAGCTTAGAAGATAAACTATATCCCTAACAAAACAAACACCCATAATAAGGGATAACAATGAGAAGGGATATTGTCTTTAAGTAGAAGGAAGTTTAACATTGAAGTTTTAGTATATGATACTTAATTAAAAGCTTGCAGGTGAGAAATTAAGTCAACTAAGTAATTAGTTCAATGGATGGAGATAAACATTTAAGAAAGGTCAGACCATAATAATCTCATTAATGCTGAATATTATTGAAAAGAGTTTCCTGCAAACTTGTTTATGGAGCTAAAGATTATCTACAGTGTAAGTTCTTACAGATGGGTTGTCTATGCTAATTCGTATACACTTTTCATCTGTAGCCTCATCTACACAACAGGCTGGGTCATCTAAGAAGCCATGAGCCTGGAAACAGTGATGTCCAAGTTGCTGAGCTCTACAGATATTTTCCTCATTAGCTCTGCAGAACGGAGACTTAAAGGCTTCTTACACTTTGCTGTCTGTCCAGCAGCCTGCCACTGAGACATTCTCAGGGCTTAACTGGACTCTACAGCCCACAGCCAGACTGCCACACAGTCAGTAAGTTCCTTGGAAGATGAAGAGCTAGAAGACACACTTTTGTGTGAGATACACCCTAAATATCCCAGAGATGGAGACATTTTGGTGTTTTCCAAACAAATGCCGCCACCTGGTGTTCAGGTATATGCTTTGAAGAGACCTTGGAGAAGGAAGAAAGCAGGGAATGGACATCAGCCAGTCATCACTGCCTTGCCAGGTGCTGAGGGGGGGTAAGTAGGGATTTGACTGGACTAAGAGGAATAACAATAGACTTAATAACCCAGCATTTTCGGTGATTGTCTCATTTTATGTAGATCAAGCATGACACGTGGCAGTGTCTGACACCTTTGAGGAGGGTCACGAACAGTGACATTCATACTGATTACCAGTGATAGGGAACAAAATGACTTATTCACTATGAACACTAAAGATCTAGTGCTTCTAGAGATTAAATCCAGATTTGACACAGCCCAGTACCCCGTGGATTCAGGGGTGAATGAAAGACCAACAACCAGTTTTAAAAGACAGATGATTGGAGGAATCATAGAATGGTTTGGGTTGGGAGGGACCGTAAAGATCATCTAGTTCCAAGGAGCTTGAGCTCTAGCCAGGAGGTAGTCCCAAAGGAGAAAATCCTCCACTTCTCCACAGCAGCTTCCTCTGCCAACACACCCAATCTTAGCCTAAAGGTGTTTATGTCCTACAACTAAACCATGACTTGGAAATGAAAAAGAACAATCCACTGGATACTGTTCATTTGTTTTGACATTCATACATACATACATCATATAAACCAACATAAACATAGTTCATATAAAACCTTGCAGGCTTTCATTTACTGAGATATCAACCTTTACTCCTCTAGCCAGTTCAAATTTCCAGACTTCCATTTCCACATCTACAGCCTAAGGGTGACTCTTAATAAAAATTTTGGAGGAAAATGCCTCCTCAAAGGATAGAATTTTTTCACTGAAGTGAAATTTCTGGTTATGTCCAGTTGTACAGCTTGCTAGGACAATGGATGCAACTCCCATGTTTCTAATGAGGAAAAAGTAGATAGGAAGTTAATGCTTAAATAATGCACAAAGGGCAACAGTCTGTATTAAATAAGTTAAACTCATACAAGCAGTGACAGTTTCAGCCTTGGTGCAGACAATGAGTTCAGATGCTTTTTACCAACGTATGTTTATAAAACAGCCCTAGCAGTCCTGAACGTATGATAGTATGGTGAAAAGCTTTTATCCCAAGTCTGTCTATTTAAGGCAAAATCAAAAGGAAACATAACCACCTGCTTTGCACACAGAAACAGTAATAAGCCTTACAGTAAAGTTTCTGACCCATCCTCAGTGCAGTGAGGATTGAAATGAGAAAACTAATTAACCTCTAAAAAAACAGAGACACCCCCTCCCCCCACCCCCATCGTATAACCAGTGTTATCAAACATTTAAGTCTTTAGTCAACAGTTTTTACCAGGGTCCTGAGGAACTCCATCAGCTCTCCATGGTTTGTAGATGAAGGTCTGAGAGAACTAAAATTGCAGTTGCTTAGCCACTGGAGGCAGTCGGTTGTGCTGTGTAGTATTTCATCAGTACGTATTTCATTCACTTCTGACTGCAGGTCTTTTAGACACTGTTCTATGCTAAAAAAAAACAAAACACAAACAAAATACAAACCAACAAACTACAAAATCACAGGATACTTTTCGCACCTTTGAGATAACGTAATTTTATATATTATTTAAAAAAAAAAAATAAATTCCAATTAATGTAACATCACTCCTTCTTTACAGATTAAAATGCTCTCAGAAAATGAAGCCTGAATTTGGAGGATTAACATTTAAATTAAGCTAGATTTAACTAGAGCTAGTCAAATTAGAGCTAAAATAAATTTCCTGCAGGCCAGACTCTACTATCCTCAGGTATTGCCTCACTTCTCAAAACCATCTTGTACTTTTTAGTAAAGTAGTTAGTTAATAAGGTATCATCCAATCTGAAATCTGGTCCTTGGTGCTTAATTAGCTACCACATTCAAAGGTGAATGTGTCATTTTGCTCTTTTAGCAATCAGCAGTTGTTTTATAATATGTTACATGTAGTAATGACTTCTTGAAGACCCATTGACACCACAGAAAATGCTGAACAGAATTTTAGAATCTGTTGTGCTGAGAAAGCAGATCTTCCCTTTTTTTTGGCATTATTTTATGAAAAGCTGAGTTTGTTTTCAAAGAGCTGATCTACTCCTCAATGTTCATCTAGAATCATAATCCTGTCTATGGAATCAGATTTGGCTGGCATGGTATTACAGGGATTTCATTTGCAAAAATCACAAGTGGTTATCCAAAATTATTTTATTTGTATTTGAGTGGACAGCTACATGAAAACATAAAACAAATAACAAAAATCCAGGAACAATCTCAAGCTAGATCTTTTCCTACAAAAACATCTTTTCAGCATTTCAGAACTACTTTTTTTTTTTTTTTTTTAAGCAGTGCTTAATATTTTATATAGTTTCAGTCAGAAAAAATAGTATTGAATAGATCTAGGCAGATCTAGGTTTAATACAAACAAATCCAACCATGAAGCTGATGTCAGTTTTGTTTTATTGAAGTGCAAAGTGATTCTCACTATCTGAATTTTATTTTGGAGTATATTAGTTATTCTATTTATGTTCTTACAGCTGATAAGGGATGCAAGGTTTAACACAAATTAAAATTTAGTTCTTTCCATCTCTGTAGAGTTAAGGAAGTCAATGAGACTCAGCTCTTTATAGGTATTTCAATGTCAGATACTTTCAATCATATTACTTTTTGTTTTTATGGCTTCAACCAAACAAGAAACTTGCCTATTACACTGCCACTCACCTCTCTTTTATATAGATAAAGTATGGCTGGTGGGTTCTTTTTAACTGCTCTCTAATGTTTTCAGACTTGACTGGTTTTGGCAACAGAAGATGAGAATAAGATTACAAAAACAGACAGGAAGAGGAGAAAAGGAGAACAAGAGGAAAGGGAAGAAAAGAAACTGGAAAACAATGTGTATTACAAGCTATAAGAAAAATAACAAATCAAAGACCTCCAGATTTCAAAAATTAATTGAGGATTTTTTTTTTTTTTTTAAAATTCACAACCCTGAATGAAGTTTTAAGCTTTTTCTGTATAACTCTTCTATGTGGAAAGGTATTCTGCACAGCACTGACTATACATCATCATTTAATTCTGCCTACAGTATTGTTTTCAGGATGTGAAAGAAGTATTTGTTTGATTTTCTACCGGGTTTTTTCCTTTATTGAATGATTTACATCTTATTCTTTTACAGAAATTATGCAGTGTACCCTAAATTCCTATTAGCTGTCTCACTATGATCTACAATAATAAAATAAATCAGTGTCATCTATATCTTTGGCAACTGAGTTTTTTAATTTAAATTGACATTTTTAAAAAGCAATAGAAAAAAAAGGAATTTATTACACTAAATTAAGTTTAGAGGTAAACAGAAGACTTTTGTTTTTATTTCTAAACTACCTATGAAAATCACAGATGTAAATTTATTTTTTTCTGAGAATGCCATCAAGACTTATAATCTGTAATGGGTTTCCCCTTGTGCCTTTGGTTTCTTTAAAATATAGTATTAAATATGAACAAGCTTAATATGAAAGTATTTGTACTGCATTAAGTACAAATACAGAATGAAAGGAGGACCATAAGAATGGAAGTGCAGAAGTGTAGCATCAGAAAAAATAAATAAATCCCTAAACTGAAAATAAAACTTCTAAAAATTTTTTTATCAAAATAATTACGTAATCTTTAACAGCTTCATCTCCCATTATCATTTGTATTTACTAAGAATTATGGGTATATTTTGTTCATGCTTAAAAAACATAAGGTAAACCATTTGAGGTGTACCTGCTCTATCCAAATGTAGAATAGAATCCCAGAATCATAGAATCATCAAGGTTGGAAATGACCATGAAGACCTACAAGTCCAACCATCCACCCTACAACCCCTAAGCAGTAAACCACCTTATGAAACACCACGTCTACCCCTATTTTTAACATCTCCAGGGATGGTGCCTCCACCACCTCCTTGGGCAGCCTGTTCCACTCCCTTAGCAAATAAATAACCACATCTCACACTTGCATTATTTTCAGAAACCAAATTCTGCAACTACAACTAAAATACACAAAAACTCTCAAAACTTATTAATACACAGGTGGCCTGCAAAACACTTCTATAGAATTGATGCAAAAGTCTCAACGCTTTCTCAGGTATGACTGAGTCCAAAACAAAGTGCACTGAAACAAGTATCTTCCCATCATCAAGTGACCTTACCAGCAGCACAAAGGACCTCTATGAGAAATAATGGTTCTCAGTCTGTGGCCCTCTCGGGTTCTTGATGGGACAGCTCAGCCATGGATACCAAAACTTGACAGAAGATTGGCATGCATCTTAACTTGTGAAACCTGCTCTCAGGACTGGGAAACTAAACGCTTTGTCCGTAGACCTTGGCTCCTGGGACACTGGCAAAGGCTCTTTCACTTGCTATGTTGAGGTGCCTGATTCAGCTACACCAAAGAGATGACAGCCCTGTGCATTATGGAAGGGACCACTGCTGTTGGTCTGTGCTAGCCAGCTTCAACTAGGGAGCAGTTTGTACACTCATCTTCAACACAGGAACCTGCGAGAGGGGTATCTGAGCCAAGCCTCATGCTGTGAACAGGCTACAGCCTTCTCAAAACCAGGTATTCAGGCAATTTTTCCCAACACTGATAAGGGGATTAGGCAGATAAATTTCAGCAGCCCTCTCTGTAGGCACAAATCTTGATAAACCTGTTCATTCAGTTTAATCCTTCTGTTCCAATAAAGTAAACACTGATTTAGGATTAAAACTGGTTTCCATGGAATAAAAATATTTTCAACCTGTTTACTTAAAGAGTACTGTAGGTAAACATGGTCTCAAAACCACTGCTGTTTCTTTTAGGATTTCTTTCATCAGTCTTACATAAACATGGTTAATTAGAGATACGTATTCCTTCACATTAATTACAACATTAAATGAAATATTTATCAATTTTGTTACCACTGGAAAAAAAACAAAACACATTTCAGTGGGTATTATCTCAGTTTAGCAAGCAATAATTTTAAATACAAGACTTTTGCCAAACAGTGTTAAAATTTTTCACACCATATAGTCTAGTATTTAAAGCCATAATTTCACATCAGTGTAGGGAGAAGGAGAGTTCTATTTCCTTATTTAGAAATAATATTTTCTTAACTTTTAAATAAAACTGTAAAAAATTTATCTAATTTTGAAGTGAAAAATATGCTTAAAGTATTTAATATTTTTTTATTCTTGAAACTACAACTACAAAAAACATACAGAATGTCAGATTCCTTTCTCCTCTCAAATAATCCTTTTTCATAAAGGTTTATCAGAAAATATATTTTAGTGCAGCAAATAAGCTCTTTTTTTTTAATCAATTGAGCAATCACCCCAGAAAATGTCAACTGACACTATACATGTACAATGGGAGTGCAAATTTTCTTAAATTGGAAAATGGAAATGGAAAACTACAACTGTATCTGTGTGCAACCCTATCTAAGTCAGGGATATAAGATTTGTAGCACAACAGGAAAATGAGATGTCAGTACTTGCAGAAGAGTTCAGTCCTGTGGTCCATATGTCTGTTTACTGATACACCCTCTGAAACTCTCAACCTTAATGATAATATGAAGCTGGTATTTGATGTTTTAGGTGCTCAGGTACCAATATTGAGACTTGGCTGAACCTAACCAAAAGGTATATAATTCTTCTGCTGGAAATTAATCTACTGGTACCACATTAAAAGAGCTGTTTCTGTTCAGATGGAAGGTCTCCATGTCCCTGACACTGGTCATTATGAGATGCCAAAGAACAAAATTTTTAAACAGTTAAGATTTCTCAGCATATTTTCTTTATCTTTGACACGGGACTTATATCAGATAGTACCCTAGTACAAAATAGCCCTCATTTATTTTCTCTCCCACAGATGATTCCACCTTTCTTTGAAACTGTCTGAACTGTTGAGACACAAACAGAAAAAAGCAGTCAACAAAACACTACACAAGGAATGAAATATATTCTCTCTAGGCATATACAGTCTAAGGGTTATGATCTGGTGGCAATTACAGAGACATGGTGGGACAGCTTACATGACTGCAATGTGGTAACGGATGGCTCTGTCCTTTTTAGGAAAGACAGGTCAGCAAGGCAAGGTGGTGGAGTTGCTCTTTATGTGAGAGAGTGACTAGAAAGTACGGAATTCTGTCCAGGGGCAGATGAGGAGGCACGGGTGATATGGTTGTGAGGGTCTACTACAGACCTCCTGATCAGGACGAAGGAGTTGATGAGGCTTTCTACAGGCAGCTGAAAGCAGCCTCACAACTACAGGCCTTGGTCCTCATGGGGGATTTTAACTACCCCGATATCTGCTGGAACACAGTCTTTCACAGTCTAGGAGGTTCCTCCAGTGCATTGATGATAACATCTTGATACAAATGGTGGACAAACACACTAGGAGAGGAGCTGTTGGATCTTGTGCTCACCAACAAGGAGGGCCTTGTTGAAGCAGTGATGGTCAATGGCAGCCTTGGCTGCAGTGAGC